ATTCTATATCTGGGCTTGAAATTCGATTGCAAAATTTTACAGGTTAGATATATGGTTCATAATGATAATTGTGTTTGGACCAAATTTATTAAGTGATCAATCGGACATTTTACACCTTACGGGTTGTAATTTATTTGATGTGGTAATTTAAAGTATGTGGGCCGGAGATAAACCCTAATTAGAATTATAGTCGTAATGGGAAGGCTCAAATTATTTCTTATATATAAAAGGCTAGGTCCCCTCTCCATATGTTTTATTGGCTTACCCCACTGATAGCTAATACTTTTGTGAGGAGCAAGGCAGGGAAGATCTTGACTGCTGTTACAGCTATCATTCATACCAATAATGACTTTCGCAGGTATGAATTCGTTTTATTAATTTAATTTTGGTGATTCTTGATTCTTGGCATGATTATAAATAAATTTTAACATTTATTACTCGAAATAGACGGTTGGTCGAATTGTATTCTCCATTTTATTTCATTAGAGGTCTGTGTGATTTAAGTTAATAGAAATTTCACTTTTACACTCCCAAAAAAAAAAAATAATAATAAATAAATAAATTATAATAATAAGTCCTCTATTTGCATATAACATCTTAAACGGCTATCTAAAATAAATTGTAATGCGAATTTTACGAAAAAAATGAAGAATGTTGGGCCAAGTGTTTATACATTAATGGCGTCACGTTTAAGGTTAAATCTTGATTTGATCAAGCATAATCAGGTTTGAAAAGTGGGGTTAAACATCATTTGTCCGAATTCTGGACACTGTAATAAATTAATAACTCCATCTCATTCACAATTCATGATTTGACTCGGTGGGTTGTTAACTTCTAGGAAGTAATGATTCACAAATTGAATTAAAAAATTCTTATTGCTGAAAAACAAGTTCTACAAATAAAAAATTAATAATTCTGTGTACAGCATTAAAAAATAAAATTTATTTGTTTTACACATTAAATAGTATAAAAGGATTTCCAAGAGACTCTCTATATTTAAAAAATATATTCTATCATTTGAAGAGTATCTAATTTAAAATATTAGAATTTAGAAGTAATCCAACAAGCTATTTACATTAAATACCTAATTTTACTATTCTCAAAAAATATTTATTATTTTTTCTATCTTTTATTTTAATTAGCTTTTTTTATATATTTTTTATTTTTTTCTTACATTGAAAATTGAAACATTTTGAATGTATCTAATTATAGAGAGTAAGTTTGGGTGTCCAAAACCCACATTCTAAATTAAAATGTTAATTTAAAGAGTTTGATTTTAAAAATTGACTCTTTAAAGTAGGGAGTATCTTATGTTTAAAGAGTTTATTGAAAATGTTCTAACATGATGAATGAGTCATGCTATATATACAATAATTGTTGACAACATTACATTCATCTATTTTAAAAATTGCTTTTTACATCAAAGACTCGGATTTTGACACCAAATGGTAGTCAACCATGTTACGACTAGCTTTATTGTATCACACTATTTTATTGTGAAATGACATCCAATGAAATGTTTTATTAGTTACTGAACTTATATTTTCATCATATTTTACTTATTAAATTTAAAAATGTTCTCAAATGATCGCTAAACTTTAACACATTACACTCCATCACTCATTTATCATATTTTATAAGTCATTGAACTTTAAAATGCTTCTCAATGGTCACTAAACTTTAATACGTTATACTTTATCACTCATCCACCATATTTCATTAGCACTGAACTTATACTGTCGTCAAGCTTTACTCACTGAACTTTAAAATGATTTTCAAGTGGTTATTAAACTTCATAATGTTTTCAAGTAAAGTTGATTTGTTATAAAATTCGAGCTATATAAAAAAAATTATATCAATTAGATAATGCAACTCTCAATCTAAAATAAGAATTTTGATATTGATCAAGAAGACATAATTTTACTTATTGTCAAACGTTATCTTCAAAGGGATAGAAGATGCTAGTTTCAAATTGATATAATTCTTAATTCAAATTATAATCTTCCTTTACATCGAGAAAATAAAATAGAAAAAAATAATTTCTTTATTTCAATTGTGATCGTAAACCCAAATCAAGAAAATAAAAAATTATATCTCAAAACAGCAGTGAAATTCTCAATTTAGAGTTGATATAGTCAATATTCGTAGTACTCGATCTGTGTAACCTTGAGGACTTTAAAAAGGATCTTTTTGATGCTCAGGCTCCATTTTCAATCCTTGGGTACACATAAATGCTTGAGCTTAGATATTACATAATCACGACATTTTTGTGGAGCCGATCCTCGGGATGTGTCCTCAAGTTATGGGGACTATTCGAAGCCATGACTCCCTCGAGCCTTTCTCTTGACTAAACTCATTTCACTTAACCTAAAAGGATTCCTACTTCTTTGGGACTCTATTCCTACCCAAACACCTGAGTGTAAGACTCCAATGCATAGGAAGACTCTACCTCAACAATGTTACTATTAAATTATGATTGGCGTTGCAACTATAGTACAAGTCCAAATATCCATTTCAAGTAGGACTCTTTGGGATAAGGATATTCAACTAATTTAATCATATTAGGAGTGCACTACCTACCTCTATAAATATAGTCTCAATTCATTATCCAAATACACTTTTACATAATTTTCAATTTATAGCCTCATGCATAAATTTTATATCTGATTTAAGCATTGGAGGGACAATGAGGACACAACTCTACACCTTTGTTTCAGGTACCAGAAAATCTTGTTTGTGCTCATTCTCAGTCATTAGGCTCGAAAAATCAACAGATACGACTTTTGGTAGCATCATTGGCACAGTCTATGGGAAACGCTTACAAAAGCCATGATTAACACACGTTCGAGTCTTCTTTCAGTGAACTCCTTTGTTCCAAACCCTCCCAAACCTAAAGACCCCCCTATTCCTCAAGAAGAGTCATCGTAAATACCAGCGCCCGACTAGCAGTTGTTATTGCTGGAGCTTTTGAAGAGCTCCACCAACAAGTTGTCACACTATCTCAACTGTTGAGTCAAAGGAATTTACATCCATTACCTATACCAGTACCACATGGGTTTTATGGCCGATGCTAGAGCTCGAGTTCTACGCCCTATTCCTGATGTTGGTAGAGCTGGGACATTGGGTATGCCTCATATAGCTTCGACCTCGAGATCAGTTACCATGGAGTCCGGTGAACTTGTCAAGATCATTCAAGATGGAATTACTGCAGGCCTATTTCGAAACATGAAGGGGTCAACTGATTTTATACTCTAGAGATATTATCATACCTCTTATCGGACAGATTCAAACATCCACGTATAAAAGAGTATTATGGGACTACTGACCCTATCAACTATCTCAATGTATATACTGACATCATAAATTTGCAAGTTGCAACAGATTAGATGATGTGTAAGTATTTTCTGCAACTTTGATGAAATTCTGCATGATTTTATGACGAAATTCAACAAAAAAGGCTCCAAATACCCGACCTACATATTACGATAGCTATTTTTGCCCTCACATATACCATAAGATGTGAGGCATTCAGAATGTCCTTGTCAAAAACTCCACCAAAGTCAGTGATTGAGCTCCTAACTCGAGGTGAAAAATATATTGATATGGAGAAAACATTGAATCTGAGGAAATTAGGCCCATCCTATAAAAGTGAAAAGATCGAGATTACAGATTTAGTTTGACCTTACGTGCGAAATCAACACAATTAAGGGCTTCAAGTCACTTTTTATTTTTATTTTTAGTTGGTTAATCAAACAATTGAATTATCTTAAGTTGAATTGCCACAATTTGTAATAAGAAAGCAGTAAATAACACTAGTTATTTTGACGAAAAAACCCAACTGGGTAAAAACTCCTAGATCAAACCAGTTACCTCCACTATAGACAATATGAATTTACAGTTAGATGCTGCTTAACCAACTCTACAAGATTTTTCGATCTACTTCCTGTAATTTCCAAGACCTTACTAAAATTACCAGCTCCCGATCTCCAACAATTGTCTCTTCCAAGTGGATCACCAAGATTGACCAATTCTTGTACTCTTCCTGTGCTTGTAGTCCAATATCTCTTAGTTTTTAGCAGCCTCTGAAGTTCAATTGGGAAATAGGTGTTTTAGATTAGACGGATTCAATGTTTTCCCCCAATTTATGGTTGTATAATCTCAAGAGTAAGTAGATCGAATCAATACATGAACTAGCTCTTGGATCTTCAAATAATGTTATGGATGTGTTATAGAGAAGAGACTTACAGAACAACCACACCAAATTTCATGCAAGGCATTGAGTATTTATAGTTGATGACAATTAGGTAGTTTAGGCTGTGTAAAACTCTACAAAATTTGAAGTAAGATTTTATGCATGACATTGTCGCTCAAACGAGGAGCTAACGATAGGCAAGCGACAGTCCATCGCTCAAGCGAGTGACAGGACACAAGAGAGCACCAAGTTTTTGTTTTTGTCGCTAGAGCAACGTCTAGGCGATAGACTAGTGAAATTGCTAAGTCTCTTCTTTTCTTATTCCGAACTCGAACCCTAACTTATCTAACTCAACTTTACAACATTGCAACTGACTCGACTTTTTACAACATATTTATTTTAGTCTTTTTGTCCACAGAATTGTCAATTACATAAAACATAACAGAAAGGGTCGAGCATAAAAGGTAACATGATCCGAGTCTTCGACAAGAAATCCCTCGAAATAAGTAGAGACAGAAAGTACCACCGATGTCATTCACTTGGTTGAATACTTCTAAGAACAACATCTTATTAGAGATCAAGGATATGAATGAACTCAAATGGCCTCCAAGGATGAAGTCTCATCCAGATACTTTGGACTAGA